TAAAAAATATTGCAGAAATTGGAAATGGTAAATGTCAATTTGTCGCAGATAATGAAGATATTAATGTTAAAGTAATTGATTTGTTAGAAGATTCTATGACTTAATATTTGGAGGGATTTAAGTTAGAATTACCAGAAATTAATATTTCATAAATTATTCCTGATCCAGAATCAATCACTGCTATAAAAAAAAATGAAGAATTAGTTATATAAATATTATTTCCAACTCCAATCTAAAATTCACTAGACTTTCAGATTAAATGTTTTGACCCTTAGAAATAAACACAAATATCTTACAAATTCGAATTGAAAATAAATGAATCATAGTAGTAAGATTACTTTCATAAACTTGCAGCTCATAAATTGATAAATTATTATGAATATTCTTTATAAAACAGAATAAATTAAGTCAATAAGATAAAGGTCAATTAAGTTACATTCAATAATGAAGATATCATCAATTTATCAATATAAAATTAAATTTTATCCAAAAACACAGCTTATATTTGCTAAATCTGTCATTTGGAAGATGAATTTAAATAATTAATTAAAGAAAAAATATTCTATCAAAATCAAACTTTTCAAGTATAATAATTGAGAAAAGGTTTAGATTACTCTATTTAATAACGTATAGATTTAAACCCATCATTTGTTATGAATAAGCTAGGTTGTTTAGATATATAATGTTGTATTGATGATGAAGAGTGTTATGAATAATAATAATGTTGTATGGATTTAAAGTTAGGCAGTATATAACAAAATATGTGTATGGATAGAGAAGATTTAGATTCATATGAGAAAAAGAGTTGTAAAAGTCCTTCGATAGATTAAGATGATTAACCGCAAAAACTAATGGAATTTGAGTAAATGTAGGAACGAAGCAGTCTTAATAATATCATTATTCCAAATAGTTAAGAAACTGCTGTTGTAATAAATTATATTGATTTATTATAATGTGTTTAGGCAGATGGAAGCTTTATTTTAAACAAAAAGTTTGGTGATTCAATCAAACTCAGCAGCTTAAATAATGATAATCATTATGAAGAAATTTTATGGACAACAATTATTGCTCTATTTTATTTAGAATTGCATTGTATAAGTGATAAAGCCTCATGGTAATTAATTTATTAAAAAGCAATTTTATTGTTAAAGAAAAATGGGTTAGATTACTTTAAGATAAAAACAGAGTATTATAATAATTATTAAAAATTGTTTGAAGTTTCTAATTGAAATAAAAATTCAAATATTATTATTAAAAATTAAATTTTAATTCATATTCTAATATCCACATATTCAACATTATATATTTTATAGATTTCTTAAATTAATAAAATAATTATTTTAAAGTAAAATGATAATTTTTAACAAATAGAATTATATTCCTCAACTTCAAATTAGAGAATAAACAAAATATGGAGGAAGTGTGCTCTCCTAATTTTTATTTAACCATATCATTATGGAGTCATCTCAAGATCATGAGATGAATTAATTCTTTAATATCTTGAAGAAATCAAGTTTAAAGATAGAGTCATTATATCCTTTTAATATTTCTAAATTAAAAAAAGTTAATTCCCAATTAATTCAATATTCAGGTTATTTGATAGAATTCTATGCTATTATATCAAATGTAAATGTTTAATTTTTTGTTTTTAAGACTCCAACATAGAATTCTATACTCTAATTTTATCAATAATAGTCATCATTTCTAAAATTTGCTAAACTCTTGATATTCTTAAAAGGAATTAAATTACTCTAAGTAGATACTCATTTGATAATTTATAATATAGAAATTTGATGAAGCTGGATAATTGTTAATTTTGAATCTCTTTCAGTTTCTTTATTTTAAGAATTCAATAGATTATCAAGTTCTTTGATCATAATCTCCATCTAATATTAGTTATTATTAAAAGTTTTCAAGTCTTTTATCCAATCAGAGCTAATTTATATTACTGGCTCTAATTATGAATTTATATAGGATCTAATTTGACACATATTACTCTAAAGTTTAAGTAGATTAATAATTTAATACTAAACAAAGTCGAAATCATATATTATTACAATGTTATTAATTAATAATTTAGAAATTAATTTTACTTATTATTGGGGTTTATGATTGTCTTTAAATTTTGCAAAAATTATTCAATTTATATTTTAAGTTATCAGACCATAAAATAATTTTAATAATGACAATAATATTTCTAGTTTAAATAACGGTTTTCATATTGATAAGCCAATTGTATAACTTAAGTTGCAGATAATGAAACTGCAATTTTAGCAATTTTTATAGATTGCTATTAATTTTGATTTAGCGAAACCTTTTTTGATAATCTGACCGTATGAATTTTATTGATATCACATTTGACTTATTTTTTGTTTGGTTTACTTAGCAGTTCTTAGAATAAGCTGAGGAGTTGGCTTTAAGGTGAATATAAGATTTAGATGATTAAAATTTTGAAAAGGTAACAATCTTTATTTTGGATTAGTAGAAATCTCTCTAAACACATCAGACAATTCACTAAAATTGACTGAAAATACTGCTAATGAAGCTATTGATATGATGTAAACTATCCATAATAGAAGGCTAGAACCAATAATTTTTCGAGAACAGCTGAACCAAGGTATTAGAGCAAAAATAGACATAATTTTATTTTGAACAGGAGAAAGTGAGACTAAGGGGGTTTTAGATTATATGTGAAAGGTATTCTCTCAAGTTTATAAAATAAAATGAAAAATCTTCCAAATTTTGGTTATTGAACAGAAACAAGTAAAGCTGGAGAAAGGGCAAGGAATCTTAGGTTTAGTGTCTATTTAGTTATCTCTAAGTTTATGTTTTTTCATTGTTAAAAGACTTCTAAACACTATATAAATATGTTTAAGAAGGAATCGATAAAAAGAACCAAAAATAAATATAAAAATGTTTATTTAGAAGAAGGTCTCTACTAAATTTGAACTAGAGAGTTAAAGTTTTAGTAAAAAAATTTTCACTAAAGGATGTGAAATTAGGATATAATGTGAAAACAATAATTTAATTTAATAATTGAAAATTTCTTTGAATGAAACTTCAAATTACTAAAATTTTAGTTTAAAGGAATAGAAAAACTCTGCATAAATGCACCAGATCATTAAATATACAAAATTAGATAATCACAGTTTTTTTTTTATATAAAGAGAAATATTTTCATCAATTTTTATTATATAATAAATTTAGCATCTATAATTTTTCAAAGCAGTTGCTGGAATGAATAAAGGGAAGAATATCAATTGCCTAATTATCAATTTTCAATTAGGATTAATTTTATAAGCTATCTTGATAATTAATCAAAAATTCATGCTTTAGTAATTCCTATTATTCTAAAAATATGTTTTATCTAAAAGTAGGAATCAATTTTTATTTTAAAAATCTTGATATTCTTATGAATCTATTTCTTACTAACTATAACTGTAAATATATCATATCAGGAATTAATTAATTAAATTTTTCCTTTCTTCCTTCTGTCACAACTAAAAAGTTTGGGTTTCTATTGCATTCAAAGATCCAAAGCTATAAGTTTTAATCTAAAATAAAATCAACTCCAAAGAATTCGCCCACTCTACTATCAATAAAAAGTTTATGTTTAACAGAATTAAAAAGATGAAATAATTTTAAAGAAATTTGAGGCATAAGGTAATCATTTAACCAATTTTTTGATATTACTAATCCATCTTCAATCAAAAGATCTTGTAATTCTTCTAAATTCCAATCAATATAATATTCATTATTTTATTATTTAATGTCTTCTTTAAGAGATTTAGTGATTGCTGTATTACAAACATGAGCTTCTTTCGAAAAATCTGTTAAATTAAATTTTAATGCACATTGCTTAATTAAAGCTTTTTTATATCCATATAAGATTGGAGGATTTGTTGAAGCTATTTAAAAATATGATCGAAATTCCATTTTATGTCCCTTTAATATTCAAATAATATACCTTAAACAGATAAGGGTTTTTTATGTATTCTTGAATGATTACATTTTAATTATTTTTTCCACAAAAAGTTCCATTATTGTATTATTTTCTGATTAATTATTCATTTTCTTTATCAACAAGTAAAACTCCTCTTCCCAAATGTTTATTAGTTTTATATATAAATTATAACCCTTCCTTTTATAATTAATTTTAATATTCCAAAGAATTAATGATTGAAAAAAACTATTAACATTCTTCTTACTCCCACATCCTATATGATTTTTTCTAAAAAGTTGCTTCATTTACACATTCTTTAGATGCATTGACTTAGTGTAGCTAAGTTAAATAACTTCTTAAGTTTAAAGATTATAATGATTTTAAAGCTATTTCTTCTTATCCAGGTACATGCATATACTTTTAAAATAAGCATCCTGCTTCTTTTCCTAAGAAATGTGTTCTCAAATACGTTTTTGCATAAGGGTATAGGACAGATGCTCTCTAATTTAAGATTAATAGCAATACTAAATCAAGGTTAATATATTAGTCTTATTCAATTGGACCTGACTGAGTAAAGTTAGGGCTGACATCAAACATTTAGTTTCGAATAATAGATCTAGCTAAATCCTTTCCTCCATAATCTCGAAAAACATAACTATCTTCTAAAACAATTTATGGGTGGAAAATTTTATAAAGATCGCTTTTCAAACAATAAAATGGATCCTTTTTTATTGCAAGTTCATAACCGCAATTTCTAAAATTAAATTATTTTTACAAACAAGGTTGAAAATATGTTCCACTAGTATCAGTTTCTTATTCAATCCAATGTTAAATAATTTTTATTGCAGTCATATACTCAAGAATTTATTTATTGTATGATTGAATAAGGTATTAATAAGTTAGCATTTAAAGTGACAATATTATCAAAGTAGCTAAGAAAATTGAAAATTTGTAAATCATTTTGATATATTTAAAAATAATAAAATATAATTATTAAAAAATATTCGATGAAATTATTTGATGATGAGAAATCTAAAATGATTAAAAATAATTTAACTCATCCACCTCTTCTTTTAATATAGTGAAACCAATTATCAATCTATCTCCAAGTATCATTTAAAGAGATAATAATCTCTTATTTAAATTTAGCAGTTGCTTCTTAATCTGAAATATTCAAAGCCAATTAATCTTCAATATATTTAACATTTGATGCCTATTATAACTCTGGCATTCCTGCAGAAAGATTCATTAAAAAGATATTTATTAAAAAATGTCCATGTTTTCTAACTAAATTGTATGCATTCGTACAATCTTGCTGAAACTTTTTGAAAAGATCTCCATCTCTTCCTCCCATTACAAAAGCCATCTATAATCATATATATATTTTACTTCTTCTGTCAAAACAAATTTAGTTCTTTCTCTCTTTATTCCAAATTTTTATTTAAAATTACCTAAAAAATGACCAAAATCAATATGAAATAAATGGCCTGTATCAGTAATCATTATGTTACCTGAATGTCGATCTCCAATTCCTAATACATAAGTTGCAACACAATAACCAGCACAAGAACGTAAAAAATTATCAGTTGCTGTTTCAAAAGATTAAGGTTCAGTATTTTTTGTTTTTAAATGATTCCATATAGTTTTCTATTAAAATGCACCCATCACACCTGCATCTCCATGAATTTTTTCAATTGTTAAACTATTAGTGACAACTTCTATCATACCAACATTGTCTTATGTTGAAATAGTTTTATAAGGTTTCATCCTAAAATCTAAACCTGCATCTAACCAAATTTTATCCATAATTTTAATTAACTGTAACGTCAACATATCTTACCTTATATCGTCCCCTGTTTTAAACATTATTTTTAATAGTGTTGATTATTTTGAATCATTATTTTATTAATCATTTGCGTGTTCTTTTTATTTAACATCATCAGGCATAATGTTAATTTATGCAACACCTTCTTCACTTGCTTTCACAATCTTTTAAGGTTGAGAAATCTATAAATCCTCATCTTCTTCTATACATTGGGGAATTACTGATAGCCATAAAGGCATTTTTTTTGAATCCATAACTTTACATTCACTCATTTTAAATTATTAAGCTTCCATTCTTGAATCTAAAGCAAATGAAAAAGGCTTTGGTAATTTAGGAAAAAGTTAATNATTATCAAAGTAGCTAAGAAAATTGAAAATTTGTAAATCATTTTGATATATTTAAAAATAATAAAATATAATTATTAAAAAATATTCGATGAAATTATTTGATGATGAGAAATCTAAAATGATTAAAAATAATTTAACTCATCCACCTCTTCTTTTAATATAGTGAAACCAATTATCAATCTATCTCCAAGTATCATTTAAAGAGATAATAATCTCTTATTTAAATTTAGCAGTTGCTTCTTAATCTGAAATATTCAAAGCCAATTAATCTTCAATATATTTAACATTTGATGCCTATTATAACTCTGGCATTCCTGCAGAAAGATTCATTAAAAAGATATTTATTAAAAAATGTCCATGTTTTCTAACTAAATTGTATGCATTCGTACAATCTTGCTGAAACTTTTTGAAAAGATCTCCATCTCTTCCTCCCATTACAAAAGCCATCTATAATCATATATATATTTTACTTCTTCTGTCAAAACAAATTTAGTTCTTTCTCTCTTTATTCCAAATTTTTATTTAAAATTACCTAAAAAATGACCAAAATCAATATGAAATAAATGGCCTGTATCAGTAATCATTATGTTACCTGAATGTCGATCTCCAATTCCTAATACATAAGTTGCAACACAATAACCAGCACAAGAACGTAAAAAATTATCAGTTGCTGTTTCAAAAGATTAAGGTTCAGTATTTTTTGTTTTTAAATGATTCCATATAGTTTTCTATTAAAATGCACCCATCACACCTGCATCTCCATGAATTTTTTCAATTGTTAAACTATTAGTGACAACTTCTATCATACCAACATTGTCTTATGTTGAAATAGTTTTATAAGGTTTCATCCTAAAATCTAAACCTGCATCTAACCAAATTTTATCCATAATTTTAATTAACTGTAACGTCAACATATCTTACCTTATATCGTCCCCTGTTTTAAACATTATTTTTAATAGTGTTGATTATTTTGAATCATTATTTTATTAATCATTTGCGTGTTCTTTTTATTTAACATCATCAGGCATAATGTTAATTTATGCAACACCTTCTTCACTTGCTTTCACAATCTTTTAAGGTTGAGAAATCTATAAATCCTCATCTTCTTCTATACATTGGGGAATTACTGATAGCCATAAAGGCATTTTTTTTGAATCCATAACTTTACATTCACTCATTTTAAATTATTAAGCTTCCATTCTTGAATCTAAAGCAAATGAAAAAGGCTTTGGTAATTTAGGAAAAAGTTAATGCAATTCAGCTTATAAAAATGAAACTCTATTATCTTTTGGTATATTTTCTTCTTTAACTTTTTATGCAATATTGTAAAGCTCATTATCAACTAGAACTTCATTCATTAATTATTATCTGAATTCTCCACAAAGCATAAGTAATTATTCTAATAAAAGAGAATATCTTTCATATGATGGTCTAACATGTAATTAAGCTTTAAGCAACCAAAATAATTCATGACCCACAACCCAAGGATTTTATAGACTTCTTTCTAGCAACATCTCAGCTAATGGATTGAAAAGATGTTTCTCAAACATCAAACATTGAGTTAATTCTAACATATATAATTACAGTTCATCATCAGACAATATACTAACTCTCTCAACAGCATACAATCGAACAGTTTCATCAGCAAATGGAGCATCTAATAATGGAAGTGCATCTTCTGGAGGTAAAGGAGTCCATAACTTTATCATATTATGTGCTTCCCTTACTTATTCAGGATCATCCCATTCTATAGCCATTAAAAATATTTAAAGAGCATATGGTAAAGTTTTGTAATGATTTCTACAAATCATTAGAATGTACTTATGTTAGTCAGTAAAATATGGTCTATTTAGAGGATTATATTTTAGTAAGGCTTATAAAATAGCCAAATCTTCAGTCCTCGGAGTAGTTGACCAATTTTTAAATGTTACTATTTAATTGTAACTCTCACTAACTGGTTGATTTTATGATATATTTTAGGATGAAAATTAATGGCTCAATTTGTATGAGCTAAATTAAGAACTTGATTATTCATGAATATTGAAAGAACTTCCTTGTCCCATATGCATTACCGAAGGAGCAATGTGAGTATTCCTCTCATTAAACTCTCCAAATCTCAGAATTGTTCCCTATTCTTAGGATGTAAACCCAACTTAGGAATATTGTTCATAAGGGTTTGTATGTTATCTTTAATGAATATTAGTTGTTGCATAAAGAGAATTTCCTGCTACTACTCCTCTTTATTTTTTACTAAAGATGTGGGACCCACCACTTAAACTGTTTGCAGAACTAAATGAGTTTGCTGTAGTTGAATAATTACTTTAATATAGGGTTCCAAACTATTCAGAGGCCAATGTAGAGGATTACATTTATTAATATGTCGAATAATCAGAATTAGGGATAAGTGTATTTCTCATTTCATAGTACCTCTAGCTTCTTGCTGATTTCGAGAATCCAAGTTCTTCCAACTATTTTTCATCTCTTAAACTCCATTTCATTGGTAAATTGAATTGATCTAATTAGATTATTAATCTTCCATAAGAATTTGTAATTAAATCTGTAGTAATTTAAGTTTATTATTAATTAGCCCAGCCATAATATTGACCTACACAAAGTAATCTGGGATCAATTTTATAAAAAGGCCATATATTCAATTAATTCATGTGAACTCGAAATCTCTTTTCCTCAGAAAAAATATACATAGTAGTGCAGCCTATAATTTATTGTTATCCTATGGCACTGTGTGCTATTATATTGAAACAAAGTCTTGCTTCTTAAGGTAATTATGAGATCTTTATTCCAGGAAAAGTAACCGATTAATAAAATTTAGGAGAGTGACTAAATGGCTATTTCTTTGTTTCAGCTTAACACCATGGTGTCAATAGTTTACAACCATGATATAAAGAAACTTAAACTGATATTAAAAATGGTAAAAAGTCTAGTTCATATCTTTCTTAAAAAGTCTCTAATTCATCCAAAAAATCTTATCCTCCAAATGGAATTTATTTACGTATATCAAGATTTCTAGGATCTAAAACTCTTCCAGTTCTTTTATGCAATTTTAGATGAACCTGTCTACCTTTATTTTATTCTCTATCTTCTGTTTTATTATTTTTGGTTTTATGATTATCATCTTCAACTTTTGTACTAGTTTTTTTTGTAATATATTGTGGAGGTATTAATCCATTGTAGGTTGCTCTTAATTAAGGTTTTTCAAATTTATTATCTTATTCAAGTGCTTAAACAAGATTTTCAATTGAACAAATTCTGACACTAAAAGGCCAGTCACATTCTCCAGAATAAAGAATATTTTGATCTATTTACAAAATATTTTATCTAAATAATTCATTTCTCATGGAAACTAAATCATTAATATATCCAACACCTTTTTTATTTCCTTATTCTTAAAAGGATTATTTTTATGGGTTATCCCCAACAGATTATCTTTTAATCTTTTCACTGCATTCTAAATTTGAAATATTTTCTTAACTAGAGCCTCTAGGTTTATCTGATTTAATTTAATAATTAGGTCCTATTCCAAAAGATAATCTAGTGTTGATTACTTCAACTTCATATTTTGGTAATGGAGAAGGAGCATACCATAATAATATAGGAACATCTTTAAATTTCTTCCATTCAATTGGAGAATATTAATCAGCACCTTTTATTCTTTGAATAATAGGAGGAAATAATGAGGATTAATCAGTTTATTTTGGAACTTCTGTTAGAATAACTTCCAAATGCTTCATTCCTCTTAATTATACTCTAACTCTATCATAAGATAACATAGGATGATTGCCTGTTAAAAATTCCTTAAATCCAGCAATTTGTAAAATAAATTAGTTTTTTTCATCTTTTGGTTTTAACTTCACTTTAAATCTTTAATAGATTTCTCTTAAAACATTTTTTATTACTTCATCAGCACCAGTAACTAATCCTGCTTCAATTTCAACAATATTAGGTTTTTCTAATAATTGAACATCAGGTGACATATTTACAAATAATTCTTTGTATTGATTCAATTTCACTTAGAGTTTGATTGAATTAACTTTAACAAAGGCTTAACTTAATGTTGATTAACAAAGATAAGTTGGAATAGAGGAGGATTATTTATGTAATAAGTATGATGGAATTTTTCTTCTTCTGTATTATTCAATTTATTTAGATGCCATACGCCAAGTACCTATATAGCATTTATTATCTCACCTGATTTCAATTTAAGCATTTATTCAATTTATTAAATAGCTTGAATAGCTTTTTATCTATATTCTTAATCAACTTCATATTCAATTTTGAATTCATTTGTATTTATATTCAAAGTATAAATCTAGCAGCTGTCTGGATCAGCACATATTAACCATCTCTCTTCTATTTATTATTTATCCATTAATGGCAAAAAAAATTATTATTAAATAGCTTAAAACTTTTTTTCTGTTTACTGATTAATTAGAAAATATATTGAATTTTTTAAATGTTTATTTATAAACTCATTTTTATCATTCTTTTCCTGCTTATACCTTAATCTCATATAATTTAATCAAACCTTCACACAGTCTCTTGGTAACACTTGCTTCTGTAACTTCAAATTCTGGCAGATGGAGAAATATCAGCTGTTACTTCCTTATCCATTTCAGAATGTTCACATCCACATCCTCTTGCTTAAAGTCCAAATTATTTAGCAATCTCTTTCAATTTTTTTTCGTCTGTTCCTTACTTAGTAATATTTAGGAATTTTCCTAGAATTGATTGTCTCTTTCCTGTTCCCATGTTAGTAGGACATGTTGTTATTACTCCATATACTGGATGCTCTGCAAATCTAATCCACTTTTTTCAATTCCTGTTAATAAATCATGTAATGACTTATCAACCTTTCCTAAATCATTACCTTAGACAATAGAAATAATTCTTAATAAATCCTCTTCTCCTACCCAAATCATTTTTGTTTAATCTTCACTAAGCCATATCCTCTGCCATAAGGCCAATCTAAAGCAACTCCAGATGCTGTTAAATGTTGTCTGTAGTCATATAATTGAATAAAAAATGTTTGTGTCTTAATTCATCTGCTACTTTGTCACTTATTTAATTCTTATGACCAGGTGTTAAACTAGAATTCCAAATGACTCAAATTCCTCTACCATCTTACTTTCAAATTTTAATCTTTCTTCATTATCCATTGAAGATTCCATCCTTTTACATTTCTTGCAATTCTGACTCTGACACTTTTTCTAAAGTTGGATTGATTCTAGTTAAAAACATATTCATCAATTAGAATATTCCAATGATATTCTTCTTTTGTGTCTCCTTATATTTAATGGTAGTCTCTAATTAATTATTCCAAGTAGAAGGCACAAAATTATAATCTTCAGGTTAGTAGCAGAAATGCCAACAGAGCTGTCATCATTTGTCAATCCAGCAAGCATTAAATTAAGGAATCTTTATTGGTCTTATTATGGGAGAGTTTTAGCTTTTTCAACAACTTCAGAAGTGAAATACTTATTTCCCAAACTTACTTTAACAGATTTTAAATCATCCCATCTTGCTTAGATTTTTGCAAAATCTACATTTCCATCTGCATCTAATTAAAGTTTGTGAGCATCTAGCTTAAAAACACACTAAATTTAATTTCTATAATATTGAATATTTTTCTTTATAAATAAGAAAATCTTTCTTTATTTATGATACACATCACAAAATTCAGATAAGACCAGAATAAAATATTAATTAAATATCATAAATTCTATAATTCTGATTATAAAAAGATTCGATAATCATTTAATATTACAAGTACCAAATATATTAATAAATTTAAATAAAATGAATAATTTAACTTTCACAGTTTCACTTTTCGAATGGAAAACTATTTCTAGATTTTTTTTCTCTCTAATTCTTTCTTTTTAAAAATATCTCTTTAATAAAATTAATTATTCGAAATATCAGTTTATAATCTTACCGAAGCGACACTTTTACGAAATTATAAACTTTTTGAACTAAATTATTCATGAGATTATATTTTATTATGAATCAAATCTAAATGATTTCCTGGGCCTAAAAGCAAAAAAGGATGAAATAATGCTTCTTAAGAAGTTAATCTTTAATTTGGGGATTTAGCCAAAACTTTTGATAAAAAGTCAAGACAATTAGGTGATAAATTTAAATGTGATAAAGCAATATGTCCATATGTATTTTCTTCAATTAGACCTTCCATAGTTTTTGATTGGAATGGCTCTTTGCCTGTTAAAATCAAATACAACACTAAACCTAGACTATAGACATCAACTTTGAAATCATAAGAATGTCCAAGTAAGATTTCTGGGGCAACATATCCAGGAGTTCCACATTAAGAGAATAAATATTCATTTTTATCATTCCAAAAATCAGCTAAGCCAAAATCAATTATACATGCTGTTTCTAATTTACCAGATTAATGTAGCATTATATTCTAAGGTTTAATATCTCTGTGAAATATTCCTTATTTATGTAAGAGTGAAAGAGCTTGAAAAAGTGGTTTTATTATTAAAATTGATTAAATTTCAGATAATCCTCCCAATTTTAGTGAATAAACTAATTCAGATCCGGCTAATAAATCCATTATTAAAGTAAGGTGAACTTTGCACTCAAAAACCTCATATAATTAACAAATATTAGGATTAGAAAATAGTCTTGTAATTTAGACTTCTTTATTTAACATTAGAATTTATTAATCCTCCAAAATGATTTTTTTTTTATAAAATATTTTTGCAGCATATTCTTTATTGTTTAGCTTATGCTTAACTAAGTATACCTTAAATTACATTAAAAATTACATCTGCAAATGTTCCATTCCCTATTTTTTTTGATATTTTATAATTTCTTGAAAAATCACTTTATATCACATATTTTTTCAATTTTTTAATCCATAACTTGCATTCTCCTATAATTGTTAAACTTCCATCATATTTTACTAATTTAAAGCCAACTAATTTATTTTAAGAATTATGAATCAAGTCTAAGAAACTATTTTCGAAAAGAATAATTTTCTAATTCATCTATATACTTTTTACATGTTAACTATATCTTATATATTTTTCGTAAAGGGTTAATTATTTTATTTTATTTTTGGAATCTGACTCAATTTTAAACTTTTGTTAATCTATTGGTTATGAAGAATCATAATCTTAGTGTAACCATAGAGCAATTCCATCATTGAAAATAGAATCCTTCTAAAGTAATTAATTGCACTAAAAGTTTTAATCATTTCCTATTAACATTTTTATTAATACATCATAAAGATAAATATAGTTCTAATACCTCAATTAAACTAGATTAATAATTTTAAAAGAAATTTTTGATGGTTTTATAATTATTAATTGCAAAACCCAAGTAAAGATTATTTTTCGTTTTAATATACATTTCTTAACCATAAACAATATATCTAATGTTATAGAAATATAATTTATAAACTATGATAAAAAGAAATAACTGAAAACAAATTATTTATACTATTATTTATATTAAAACAATAAAATGTGGAATCTCCTTTACTAAAATCCTATTTGTTTCAAAAAGAAAACAGCTCAAGTACATAAATATATAAATTAGGATTAACTAAAACACATTACAACTATTTAAACAGCCAAGTCCTGCCTTCATCTTTAACCTCCTTGGTAATCAACGCATTCATTATAAAAATTATCTAATAAATATACACATAGTATTTGATAAACTTTAACTTCTCTTAGTTTAAGATTTAGATATTGTTAATCAAAACCATATTCTTATGTCTAAAATGAAAGAGATTTAAAAAAAAAAAACTAGTTTTAAAATTCCAACATCATATGCTTCAATTGATAATATAAGAAAAAAAGAGACTACAAAAATAATTTAGGAAAATTAAACTTTATTGAAAAGGCTTTAATCAGCCCATTCCTAATATCCTGTTAAATTTCTCAAAAAAGATAATGAAAGATTAAAGTAATATAGAGAAAATTTATAAAAAACAAAAAGTATTTCTTAAAATAATAAAGGAACTTATAATGATTTTAATGTGTTAGCATAATAAGAATTTTAAAGAAAATTACTTTATTCATCACAATCTTAACGAAAATGTAATTTATTAAAACTAATTAAGTTTTACAAACTAGTGAAAGAAATAGATAAAACACATGTTAAACAGTTCCATCTTAATTGTGAATTTAACTTGTATGCAAATTGTATTAATAATTTTTATTATTTAAATATTTAATACAAATTATAATCTTATGTTAATAATCACAAAATATCTAATTTGTTGAATTAACAATATATTCTTTATATTAAACAATTATAATTTTAAGATATTAATCCTAAATATTATGATTCTCTCAAATTTGAAAATATTTTTTACTTTTTCAAGGTATCAATCTGATATGATTTTAAAATGTTATTTAATAAAAATACTTTGGAATTATATTCAATATAAATCATCTTAAAATCTATATAAAATGTTCACTCTTTAAATAATATTTGCTTTACATTCTTTACAATCTACAGGATCACAATCATCACAAATCAATGTTGTATGGCCATTCGAACAAGATATTAATCTTTAGCTCATTAAAGTGTCACAAATTTTACAATAAATAGTCTAAAAATCTAACTTTCCCTCTTTTTATTATTCATATATAAGTTTTAAATATTTTGGAATTTTTTCATCTTCTATTACTTTGAAAGGATTAATTTAACAAATTTAATCATTCCTTTTTGATAATTAATCAAAAATTTTCTAATCCAAATATATTACAGAAAGGGAATAACAATTAGTTAAGGTTCGATTACAATAGAAACACTCTTTAGATTCAAGGCATAAATCAACACATTCACCACAATATCTTAAATGGCCACATTCTTTTAATACTCGATTGACTTATTTAGTTTTACAGATTCTACAAAATTATCTTAAATCATTATTATCTCTTAGAATCATATTTTAAGTAATTTGAAATTTTGGAATAGGAAGATATTATGCTAATTCTATTTTTCTATTTTTCATTTCTAATATATTAGTAATTTTTCCATAAAAAACAACTGTTTAGTATGAATTAATAAAACTAAATTAATATATATAAAAATACAAAACAATAGGCTTAGATACAATATTTAAAAGTTTGCTTTAATCATCTTGAATAATTTTTAATGCTAATTTGCAAACACAAAAATTAATATCTTTTGGATTTTCATTAATATTCCCATTATTTTTTTATTTGATACCTATTAATTAAACAGGATTATTATGGCTATTTTATATTCCAAATTCCTAATCGTAAAATATCATTTTAAGTTAACCCATTTTTCTAAATACATCTCTAGGATGTTAGATTGGTAATTCACATAATTATATTTCAACTTCTAATGAATTAATTTCTTCTGGACAAAATTGATAACTGCATAATATTCCTTTTAATTATTTGTTATCTTCAAATTTAACAAAAACTATATATTATAAAATATATTTACTTTCACCAGATTAACTAATATTTATTTATTAAATCCAAGCTTTATCTTTTATTGATTTTAATAGCTATCCAACATATAATGCCCCTTTAAGGACTTTTATAACATGAACTGCTTCTTCATGTCTCACTACAATACATTCTGTTTCATCAATTAATTTTGATGTTTAATTAATTTCATTATGAAAGAATTTTTAAATTTCATTTTATTCACAATTTTTTACAACTTTTAATGTTGGATTTTTTAATGAAAAGACATTTCTTTCATCTTCAAGTTCTCTTTCTTAATCATCAAATATCGATATAATAGTTTATTCTAATTTTGTAATAGCTTGCTTATATTTTTATAATTTAATTTTTTCTAAAGAAACTAAAACCTATTGATAACTATATTAATAGTAAATAATTTTACCCTAATAATTTCAGTGTTTTAAATATTGTAAAATTAGAATCCAAATTATTTGTTAAGTGTTCAACTTTATTTAATTAAGTTAAATTTGTAGGAAATTAATCAAGTATCACAACAGCCTTATCATATTTCCATAATTCTTTTTATTGTTAGTAAATATCAGATGTTACAAAGTAGGTAGAAGCAAATTAATATATTTCGGTAGCTTATATTTGTTATTCTTATGAAAATGCTATAAGTACTATATTCATTTATATATAATTAAAATTAAATACTTCAAAAGAATTAATATTTATGAGAATAATTTAAAGTAAAAATATTCTTACATAATTTAAAAGTGTATTAAATCAATAAATTTTATATAAAAGTAACAAAAAAAAGAATAAAACTTTAATATTTAAACATATTTATTTAATAAAACTTGTATTTTATAAATATCATACAGTTGGATCATCTGGAAACATATAGATAATTTTTTATTTAATTGGTAATTATTCCTTGCATGTCTAGCATTCTTAAATTTAGCAATCATCACAAAGTAAAGTTTAATGATTTTTACTACAAATAGAGTATTATGTAATTCTTGAATCACAATTATCACACTTAATTTCATACTAAAAGTTTTATTCAACATTTATTTCATTATTAATAATGATAAATGGCAACATATCTTTTGAAGGATTACCTGCAAAATATTCAAAAATTTATTATTATGTCATTTATTTGAGATATTATAATTATTATTTTGTAAGATGAATATTAAAACTTTGAATGCTATCACTAGGTTTATCACAGTATAAGCACTGTTTTGCTTCCATACATATATCTTTACAATCATTGCAATATCTTAAATGTC